GGGAGGGTGGGGGCTGGAGCTACTGGAGCAACAACGAGCCGTTAAAGGCAGAGAGTGAAATTCAGTGAATTCACGTAGTTTACAGAGATGCTGTATGAGAAACCAATGTGAGTTTGGAAAATTGCACAATATAAATCTATTCTAGTAGACCTCAACAATGGAATTATGATCAGTGGAAATGGCCATGACATGGGACCTTTAAAGTAAAAAAAACAATATAGGTGCAGGTATACCCTGTTGGCAGCAGCATTTGATGTGTGGGGTGAGATACATACAGTGTACTCCGTTTGGGTGACTCGGTAAACAGGGACATTAGATGTTCTGATCCTGGTTTAACCCAGTATTCTTCCGTTTAAAAGATTAACAACAAAACTAGGTCTTATGGTTTTGTGTACTAGCGTGGGATCACGGGAGTTTGTCATTGCATTCACCTTCTTCCAGTTAGTTTTCTTTCAGAGTTCATCTTTTTTTACCAGGAAACAAACCATAGGCAGACGTCTCCTCCTCAATACAATACAAACTGACCCAGTGCTATACAAGTGAAAATACTGAATAAAGCAGTTTCATGTTTTAAAAAAAACATGTTTTAGGACTCACGAAGGCGACTCCTCTAAATCTTAAAGAGCTGGCCGCCCATGTACTCAGTAGAGGACCCCTGTTTGATTCTGTGTCATCCCTTCCCCTCCCCTTTCAAATCGGTCTCTATAATAACAGGCGCTTGTGGCCCAAAAATAATCTTTAAAAAAAGCCGCTGCAGCTATTGTTTGCTCAGCTTGTTTCTCTGATGTAATTGTTGTTAAAATGTAACTTAAAACTGGATAAACATCAAGTTATGACATATTCTGGCAGACAACCACACTGACACATGCACGTTGAGTATACGTTCCATCACAGGGGGCCAAATGAAACAGACGTAACCATTTTTAAAATTACAGAATTCTCTAGGCGTGACATTTTTTTTGGACATTTTTGGGATAATGTAAATACACAATTTGACTTATTTAGACGAAAAAAACGTTTAAAGATATTTTAATGCAGAAATGTTACATTGTACCTTTTTGAAGGTCCTCTTTCGTGTTTGGGAATTAATTCACTCATTAGTTTAATGTGGAGCAAAGTAGGTGTGTGTGTGTGTGTGTGTGTGTGTGTGTGTTTGTGTGTGTATCTGATGTGTGTATCTGCTGTGTATCTGATGTGTGTATATGATGTGTGTATCTGATGTGTATCTGATGTGTGTATATGGTGTGTGTATCAGATGTGTGTATCTGATGTGTATATGGTGTGTGTATATGATGTGTGTGTGCGCGCATTTTTTAATCTGTCACTCTCCTAGATTGATAAACTGAGTGAGTGGATGCAGACCACAAGAAAGTGGCTGATTTAGCTGTGTCGGTGTGGACTGAGAAGTGTTTTCCTTGGCAGTATTTCAACATTATGTGAAGCAAGCTTTCTAACCCCCCCAAAATAAATATGTGGCTTTTTTGCATTAATGCTAGTCTCATACAGCATCAGCATGCACAGAATAAGATCCCATACCCAAACATTTGAACATGTAAGGCTTTAGTGATGCTTACACTTTGTGAAGTGTCATCTTCCTGTTTAAAGCCCTCAATTTCTCCTGCTGCTGACCATGACCATGTACAGTGGGGAAAAAAAGGATTTAGTCAGCCACCAATTGTGCAAGTTCTCCCACTTAAAAAGATGAGAGGCCTGTAATTTTCATCCTAGGTATACCTCAACTATGAGAGACAAAAGGAGAAAAAAAAAATCCAGAAAATCACATTGTCTGACTTTTAAAGAATTTATTTGCAAATTACGGTGGAAAATAAGTATTTGGTCACCTACAAACAAACAAGATTTCTGGCTCTCACAGACCTGTAACTTCTTCTTTAAGAGCCTCCTCTGTCCTCCACTTGTTAACTGTATTAATGGCAACTGTTTGAACTCGTTATCAGTATAAAAGACACCTGTCCACAACCTCAAACAGTCACACTCCAAACTCCACTATGGCCAAGACCAAAGAGCTGTCAAAGGACACCAGAAACAAAATTGTAGACCTGCACCACGCTGGGAAGACTGAATCTGCAATAGGTAAGCAGCTTGGTGTGAAGAAATCAACTGTGGGAGCAATTATTAGAAATGGAAGACATACAAGACCACTGATAATCTCCCTCGATCTGGGGCTCCACACAAGATCTCACCCCGCGGGGTCAAAATGATCACAAGAACGGTGAGTAAAAATCCC